ATTCATAATGAACACAAAATACCAAAAGTTTATCACTCAATGTGTTGCTTCTCAGTGTGGATGCTGCTATGAATAATATTGATAAATGATAATGGTGTATCAGTTTTCGTAAGAAAGTGCCACTGGCCAGTGAAAGATGAAGAAGATTAAGATTTGCGTTAACACTTGTATTTGGTACAGTGCCTTACCACACCAAGTCATCTCAAAGCAGAGATTTTACTGTAATAATCCTGGCATTTGATATAGCGCCTTATCACGTCACTGAGACGTCTCAAAGCGCTTCACAGAATATATTGTAAAGCGGATTGACTGTGTATTTTGTGGGCGAAACGCGGCAGCCAATTGCGCACAGCGGCGTCCCCACGAACAGTCGTGGATTGAGTGACCCTTGCTTTTTTTCTTAGGGATTATTCCCCTTGGAAAGTGATCTGCCAATCGACTAACATCCGGGTTCTAACTAACTGCAAGGTAAACAGAGGTGTATGGTGTAAGGAAAGTAGCCTAAGGTTTCCCTCTGCCCTGGGAATCGAAGACAGGTCCCTCTCACTCGCACGGCGAGCACGCTAACCACGAGGCTACGGGACTCCAGTCCTTCTGTACGTGAGAATGGCAGCCAATTGCACCCCACAATGCCCCCACAAACAGCGTTGGGTGAGGTAAGGTACGCTGGTAAGGAATGTATTGGAGACATCAAATATACAGTCAATTCACTTTACTGTATATTCTTGTGAAGCTCTTTGAGTCTCTAAGATGTGATAAGGGGCAGCATCAAATGCAAGGACTATTATTGTTATTATTATCTATATTCAAGGTGCTGAAGCTTTGAATGACATTTTCAGCAGCAAGAGAGGGAGGCAGGGCCGGGAGCAAGCAACGTTCTGCAATAAATATATGTAGTCCGAGCAAAGGACTGGATTGAAGCACAACTGAGGCAAACAGAACATCCTTCGAGACCCATCTCAAGACCCTCCTCTTGAACCGTGCTTTCGATCTCCCTGATTCCCCCCCCCCCACCCCCGACCTTCACCCTCCCCAATCTTGACCCTCAGCTCGGGTCCAAGACACTGACTGTCCAGGGCCTTGCGACCATGGGACATCCTCCCGATGTGAAAGGCGCTCTACAGATGTAATTTTGTTGTTGTTGTTGTTGTAATAGACTTTTACAACAAAGCAGATGGACATTTCGCTCATCTTGGCTGAGCCCGTTCTTGTATTCATTCCAGCACACGTCGGTTGGGATTGGGAAAAGAAAGTGCCGTACCGTTAGTATATTTTATAATTGTCCCTTAGGGGTCGTTATATGTCTGTTTGCACTGTTTACAATCCAATTAAGCCAGATGTTAGCACAAAAGACGAAAGAATAGTTGCCACTGGAAAGCGGTTGCTCTAAATATCAGAGCCAAATACCAGTCACCCAAAGCAGAGTAAGCAGTGGGGAAATGGGTGGTGAATATATATTAAAAAAAAACGATTTGTATGTGTTTGTTGCTTAAAACTTGCCGTTTGCTGCCCAGATTTTGCACTTCAAGTTCCTGTTTGGTAGACACTTATTTTGAGGTTGGTGTTTTGTGAAGATCAGACCAATTAAGTTAGGAATGTACAGAAAGAAACATTAATATTCATTATGCGTCCTAACAAAAAGTCTTCAGTACAGAAGTCAGGCATTAAGCATGTCATTGGTAAACATTATGATTAACAAGGCCCAATCCCCACGTCATTTAAACCTTACTTTTAAACGGGTATAATTTGATTAGAAACACAGTACGTAGGATTTTTTTTTAAAAAGGTCTGTGAACTGTGAATCAAAGTTTTTTTTAATACTCAAATCAAACACAGATGCTGTACGAATGCAAACCAAATCTTTTGGACAATTCCCCGGTGGTTGTGGGTTTCATTAAGAAAGTATTGTTGAAATTTATTTTCTATAAACTGCGATCTATAAAGTGTCTCCTCTCTTGTCCCTAATCGGGGATTAGCTCCAACACCTGAAATTAGCTGAAACGGATTTGCATTTTGATGCGTGTGGGTGTATTTTTTTAAAAAAAGCACCGAATCGATCGCAGGTAAACGGACCAGAAATAAGGTGGAGAGTGAACTGGTTTTATGAACTGGTGTCTTATTCAGAGCCGAGTCAGAATAGCATTAACCAGCCCAATTCTCCTGAAGGCACCCCCACACCACTCAGCAAGTGAATGTTGGCTGCCTCAGAAACTCCACCCGAATCATCCTTTCCGCCGCCCCCCACCCACCCACCCCACCCACCCATTTGTTTCAACCACAACAACTTGCATTTATATAGCGCCCTTCACGAGCCGGGGGGAAAGAGGGAAGGTGACCGTAAGCACGGCTGAAGAGCGACGTCTTCAGTCTGTGATCGAAAAGAGGGAATGGAGGGGGCAAGGCGGAGGGATTGAGGGAGAGAGTTCCACACCGGTTGAGATGTGTTACTTCCACCAATGTCCTTCCAGCCTCCACCGCGCTGACCATCGCCTGAAGTCACAAAGGGTCAGTTCTCTGCCTCTCTGTGTCACCGCTTCCTCTCCCCACTCTGCCAAAAAGGTGCGTTGGCAACTTGGACACGAAATGCAGATGGTCCGCAACAAGAGAAAGATACAAGACGTTGGAAATGAGGGCGCTTTAGTTAGTCAGGCACAACAGGCTGGACCTGTGCTTTCACTGGACTGAGTTATACACCTTAGCTCTCTGTGTAGAATGAGAAGTACTACATTGGAAACAGACGAGTGAGTGAGTGAGTGAGTGAGTGAGTGAAAGCGCATTACCAATCCTGGCTGTGTGTATGTGTGTGTGTGTATGAGAGAGAATATGGGTGTGTGTGTGAGAGAGAGAATATCGGTGTGTGTGTGTGAGAGAGAATATGGGTGTGTGTGTGTGAGTGTGTTTGAGAGAGTATGAGTCTGTTTGGAAGAGAGAGTATGAGTGTGTGTGTGAGTGTGTGTTTGTGTGTCAGAGTATGAGAGAGTATGTGTGTGTGTGTGTCAGTATGAGTGTGTGTGTGAGTATGAGTGTGTGAGTGTATGTGTGTGAGAGAGTGCATGAGAGTGTGTGAAAGTGTATGTGTGTGTGAGTATGAGAGTGTGTGAGAGTATATATGTGTATGTGAGAGTATATGAGTGTGAGTATATGTGTGTGTGTGTGTGAGTGTATAGGTGTGTGTGTGTGAGTGTATGAGTGTGTGTGAGAGAGTGTATGAGTGTGTGTGTGAGTGTATGAGTGTGTGTGTGTGTGTCTGTGTGTGAGTGTCAAGGACTCACTCCTTTACATTGCAAACACGAAGCATCTCCTGCAGTTCCTTAAAAACTGGAGAGAGAGAGAGAGGGGGTGGGGGGGGGGGGGGGGGGGGAGGGGGGGGGGAGAGACAGAAAAGGGAAAAGGAATAGAGATGGAGATGGAGAGGGGGAGGGGGGGGGATCGTGCCCGGGCTGTTGGGTGGATTTATTTAAACAGATCACATCTGGTGGCTTGTGAGTGGGGTTTGGCAGTGAAGATTTCTTTTTTACTGCAAGGTCACTGCTTCTCTCCATCCTCTCCCCATCTCTCTCTCTCCTCCTCTCACTCCCCCACTGAGCACCACACAAACCTGGGGGGGAGGGAGGGGGAGGGGGGGAGAGTGGGGGGGAGGGGGGGAGAGTGGGGGGGGAGAGTGGGGGGGAGGGGGGGAGAATGGGGGGAGGGGGGGAGAGTGGGGGGGAGAGTGGGGGGGGAGAGTGGGGGGGGAGGGGGGAGAGTGGGGGGGGAGAGTGGGGGGAGGGGGGAGAGTGGGGGGGAGAGTGGGGGGGGAGAGTGGGGGAGGGGGGGAGAGTGGGGGGAGAGTGGGGGGGAGAGTGGGGGGAGAGTGGGGGGAGGGGGAGAGTGGGGGGGAGAGTGGGGGGAGAGTGGGGGGAGAGTGGGGGGAGGGGGGGAGAGTGGGGGGGAGAGGGGGGGGAGAGTGGGGGGGAGGGAGGGGGGGAGAGTGGGGGGGAGAGTGGGGGGAGAGTGGGGGGAGGGGGGAGAGTGGGGGGAGAGGGGGGGGAGAGTGGGGGGGAGAGTGGGGGAGGGGGAGAGTGGGGGGGGAGAGGGGGGGAGAGGGGGGGAGAGTGGGGGGGGAGGGGGGGAGAGTGGGGGGAGGGAGGGGAGAGTGGGGGGGGAGAGGGGGGGAGAGTGGGAGGAGGGAGGGGGGAGAGTGGGGAGAGTGGGGGAAGGTTATAGAAAGAAGAGAGCGAGTGAGTACTGGAAATATATTGATTGATGATTGATTGACAGACAGACAGACAGACAGACAGACAGACAGACAGACAGACAGACAGACAGACAGACAGACAGACAGACAGACTATATAAGGACTGGGGGGTGTCCCATGGATTGGATGCTGTGACCCTCCGCAGTGGGTGTCTCAGCTCCAGTGTCGGGGCTTTGCTGATGGTGTGTCTGACGATTGGATTTTGGATTATACGCGGCTGAAGGAGGGTCGGAGTGTCAGTGTCTGTCTGTCTGTGGGTCTGTCTGTGTCTGTCTGTCTGTGTCTGTCTGTGGGTCTGTCTGTCTGTCTGTCTGGTCGGACGCAGAGCAGCAGATCATTGTCTGTCAGGTTATACCGCAGAGACTGAGACAGAGAGAGACTGAGACAGAGAGAGATTCCTTCTCAATACCAGAACAGCATCACTTGTCTCACTGTGTGCTCTGCTCTGTGTGTGTTACTGTGTCTGTGTGTTACTGTGTGTGTTACTCTGTGTTGCTGAGTGTGTGTGTGTTACTGTGTGTGTTGCTGTGTGTGTGTGTGTTGCTGAGTGTGTGTGAGAGTGTGTGTGTGACTGTGTGTGTGTGTGTGTGTGAGTGTGTGGGTGTGAGTGAGTGTGTGTGAGTGAGTGTGTGTGAGTGTGTGTGTGTGTGAGTGTGTGTGTGTGAGTATGAGTGAGTGTGTGTGAGTGTGAGTGTGAGTGTGAGTGAATGTGAGTGTGTGTGAGTGTGAATGTGAGTGAGTGTGAGTTGAGTGTGAGTGAGTGTGAGTGAGTGTGGGTGTGTGGGTGTGAGTGAGTGTGAGTGAGTGTGTAAAGCCTACCTTGGGATGAGCAGAGAGGAGAGTTTGGAGCTGTTTCTCAGTCGCAGTGATTATTTGTTTGTTTGTTGCACCGCCTGAACACTGATGGATCCTCACAAAGAGACCTGAGAGCAAGAAACCAACCGAGAGAGAGAGGGAGAGAGGGAGAGGGAGAGAGAGCTTTTTATTTGGTGAATAACCTTGAATATTGTTGCATGTTTTCAGGGTTGTGAGTGACAGTACGAATAGAATTGATTGTAATTCAGTTTGCCAGCGGGTCTGTTAATTAATTAATAATAATAATAATGATTATTATTGATTAATAATGATAATATTTTGTTGTAATGCTGTAATGTAGAATTATTATTATTATTGTTGTTCGACCATCGTTCTTGTTTCACAGTGCAAACCAGAAAACATAGTACTTTGGGGTAGATTTGTACCAATCCTGTGTTAAGAAATGTGCTGTTTGTGAGACAAAATACCTCTTTATTTCATATTTTTTTCATTTAATCCCCCCCCTCTCCCCCCCATGTGTGGGGGGTTTGCATCCATCCACACAGTGCTTGGCTCCAGCAGTGAGACGATAACCTGAAGGTGTCTTTTTTTGTAATGCAACTGATGTGTCTTACAATAAAGGGTAGAAAAAGGGGGTTTTGCTCTACAAGATTTTTTTTTGTGGTGGGGGGGGGGGGTGTAAGGAATAAGATTCACTGTTCATCTCTCACACACACACACACAGAGCTGTCACCCTGAAGCCGGCAAATTCTGTGCTGCAATTTTATGGTTAATAATAATAATAGTAATAATAATAATAATTCTTGCACTTGATATAGCTCACGCCTTATCACGAGGCGTTTCAAAGCGCTTCACGGGATACACTGTAAAGTGAATTGACTGTGTATTTTGCGGGCGAAAGAGGGAACATATTTAGAGAGCGCGCATTTTGTGCATTGGGTGTAGTTAGAAAAGCTGACGTTTTCTGTCTCGCTGTTTTAAAGGAGTGAGAAAATGTATAATTTAAAGGTCAAAGTATAACGGTCTCCCCATTCCAGATGTCCGCGGTGTTTGGTGGCACGAGGCTTTGTGTGTGTGTGTGTGTTGGGGTGGGGTGGGGTGGGGGTGAACTGCAGTAACGTACCCATTTTAATTCAATAGACTGAAGGTGTGATTCCCTGTGACTGTGTGTGTGAGTGAAAGTAAGTAAGTGAAATAACAAAAATAATAATAATCCTTGCATTGGATATTGCGTCTTCGAGACGTCTCAAAGCGCTTCAAGGAATATACCGTACCGCGTATTTTGTGTGCGGGGGCAGAATTTTTTTTAAAATAAAGAGTGACTGAAGCCAGATACGGAGTTACTGACAGACCTGTTTCTGGAGTAAACTTGACCATTGTAGTTGGGAGAAGAAGTGAGAGAGAGAGAGAGAGAGAGAGAGAGAGAGCGGGGAGGTGGAGGGGTGGGAGAGAGAGAGAGAGAGAGAGAGAGAGATGCGGCATTCTTCCAAGGGGTTAATTGAATCACCTCGATTGCGCTAATATTCACATTTCTCTCCCGACCCTGGGACCTGTGTTCACTGTTGCAGGGAAAAGTGCCAAGCGAGGGAGAATCATTCCGCTTCGGGAAAAACACAGGCGTGAAGCAGAGACTCTGTTGCTGCTGCTGGTGGCGCGGTGGGGCAAGGAGTGAGAGGTTTATTTTTGGAGCTGCAAAGCAACACACAAGCCAACAGCGAAAGGCAAATAGCTTTGGTGGTGGTGGTGGTGGTGGGGAGGGAGCAGATGCAAGATGGGGACTCTACCAGAGACGCGTAGCTCTCAAGCCGTCCAGAGGATTACAGGTTCAGCCCAGACAGAAACACCAGGCGTTCACAGCAGCCGACACGCAAGCCCGACGCAGCTCGAGACTCCAATCTCGTTCCCCGGCCAAAAGGAGACCTCCTTCGCCCAGGACACCACCGCCGGTCCCGCAGCCAGAGCCGGCAAGGCTACAGGCTGTAAGGATCCCAGCCCGTCTCCCGTGGGATTCGGCCGGCAGGGAAAAATTCCGGAAGAATCCGGCTTGATCTCGGACCAGAGGCTTGGCAACACCACTCCAGTCCCTGGAGAAGAAATCGCCGCGGGCTCTCGGGTCGAACCCTTCCTGGTGGGCGTTTTGCAGGCGGAGCAGGAACACCGGGAGGAGGTCATAAAAGCAGAGAGGAGAGTGTGTTCTGCCTCCAACAGCAGCAGCAGCAGTAGCAGCAACAGCACCGACCTGCGGCCATCACCCCCAGACCACAGCAGTCTGAGAGACCAAGGAGAAAAGTCCAAGAGAGAGGAGCCACAGTGTGTCCAGCCTGGGGTACACCCTCTCCCTCCTCAGCCTGGGAACAGTCAGGTCACCTCCAGAGGCAAACAGGGGGCTCCGCAGCCTCAGACCCAGACCCAGACTCGTTCTGTCCTGGGACCAGAAGAGACAAAGGCTGGTTTGGGGTCGAGCAGGGAATTGGCCAGTCAAGACCTCCCGCCTGGGTCTTTGAGTCTCTCGGAAGCAGTCGCAAAGCAGCCAGAAAGCGACCCGCAGCCTCCGGCTCTGAAGCTGGAGCCGGGCTCCGTCTCTTCCCAAACCCCGAGCCTGCGAGAGAAGTCGGCGGATGGGAGCGAAGTGGGATTGGGAATGATGCCCGTTGCGGAGCCCACCCCGGCTCGCCTGGAGACCGAAGCCCAACGAGTGGCACCCGAGCCAGTCGGCCTCTCCGCCTGCCGGCAAACCCCAGAGAGGCCCCACCAGCAGAGGCAACCTGCAGTGCAGGCGGTGCCGAGCTCCCCGAGGAAGCCGGGGGAGCCCACCAGCCCGGCGGGGGCCGGGGGCCACCCGCGCCCGCAAGGCAAGTTCAAAGACGCTGAGACCATGACGAGCAACCACTTCCCGGGCACCTCCGGCTCTTGCGCCCCCGCCAAGTCCTGCCGGGACGCCGAGGTCCAAGCTGTGCTGCAAAGCTTCCAGTTTAAATCCACCGCCACCAGCCCCAAAAGCCCGGCCGGCTACCTGCTGAGCGACAGCAAGGCTCCCGTGCAACCACCCCCCGCGCACTGCCTCGACCTCAACCGGGCTGGACCGACGGGCGCGAGTGCCACGTCGGGTCAATCGCCGGGCACTGCCGGGGAATCGGATGAACTGAAAGTGATCTGCACCTTCGCAGCAGGGTGCGAGCACTCCAGCGTGGTCTATGAGGTCAGGGAGGGTTCCCAGCAGCTCCCATCGGCAAGGGAAGCTAAACCCCAGCCCCTTTCGGCGGAGGTGGTTTCCGGAGGGAAGGGTGAGGGTCAGCCAAAGGTCCGCAAAGGGTCTCCAGGCCACCCTGGGACCACCTGCCACAAGGGAAGCGATGCGACCACAGAGGCTCAAGCTCCGGACCCTGGTGTGGCTCCAGCCAACAGTTCCAAGGTGCCAAATGACCAGGGAAGCACCAGGGATGTGAAAGGTGCTCCCAGCGCCCGTGCGGGATACGGAGCAACAATGCAGTGTGTTCCCGTTGCCAGTGCAGCTGACCGCAATGTTACCAGCACATTGGCGCAAACCAAGCCAATTGGGGACTTGAAATTGGAGACTGACCGCCCAAAGACTATTCCTGACTTAAACAAAGAGCGTGGTCAGACAGGGGACTCTTGTGTCAGGAGCCAGCCATCTGATGCATCGAATATCTGCCGAGAACCAAACCAACCGAAAGCCGATGGTGATGTGGCCAAGGAAAGTGAACAAAAATCCAAATCTGTTCACAACATTGGTACCAAATCTGACCAGTCAAAGACTGCTCTGGGCATCCAGAAAGATTTGTGTCTTTCGAAAACCACGTCAGTAAGTGCCAGTAAGGAGTCGGGCAAATCACCACCCGCTCAAAATATGGGTAAGGAACCGTCGCCCTCCAAAACAACTCAAGAAGTCCACAAGGAATCCAGCCAGCCTCAGGCTTCTCAAGACACCACTAAGGGAGTTAATCAAACCAAAACTGCTGGGGATGCCAATAAGAAACCAGCTCCCTCTGTAGCTGTCCATGACGCCAGTAAGAAATCTGCCAAGTCACAAGCCTCTGACAACACCCGTGTAGAGTCTGGGCAGTCGCGAGGTAAGGAATCTGTTCAGGCCAAAACGGGTGTTGATCCCAGTAAGGGATCCAGCGAGTCCAAAGCTGGACAAGACACCAATAAGGCATCGAGCCCTTCAAAAGTTGTCCATGGCACCAGTAAGGCATCGAGCCCTTCAAAAGTTGTCCATGGCACCAGTAAGGCATCGAGCCCTTCAAAAGCTGGACAGGAAACCAATAAGGCATCGAACCAGTCAAAAGCTGCTTCTGATATCAACAACACATCTGGCCAAGTTGCAGTCTTGGATGACCACAAAAAGAAATCGGGCCAATCAAAAGCTGGTAATAACAGTAACAAGAAACCGGACAAACCTCCGTGCACCAGTAAGCAATCAAGCACGCTGCTCTCTGGCAAACGGAAGTCCGCTCCGAACGCCAAGACGAAAAAGAAGCAGTCGGCCAGCAATTCTAACGAGGACTCAAAACAATCGAAGAATGTTCGAGATGTGATCTGGGATGAGCAAGGGATGACCTGGGAAGTTTACGGTGCCTCGATGGATCCCGAGTCGCTGGGGTTCGCGATTCAGAGTCACTTACAGAAGCAGATCAAGGAGCACGAGAAGCTAATCAACGTGAACATTCAGAGCAAAAGATCAATGTCATTGGATGCGACGCCTGTAAGTAAAAAAGCCAACAAAAGGAGACAGCAAAATGTCTTCAGGACAGTTCTGCAAAATATCAGGTCCCCACAGTGCTGTGTGCGCCCTCAACCATCCTCTGTGATTGACTGATGTGAAGCGTAGTAATCAATGTCTTACCCAAAACACACCACAAACTGTTTGCAACCGAATATTTTTGTTCCGGATCCGTGTCGTCTGTAGACGGGTGGCACCTCCCTACAGATTTTGTTTTTCCGACCTCGTTCAACAGAATTCTACAATGACTATTCGACATATTGGAACGTTCTATACCAACCACAGTTGGTTCAAGACCGACGACCACCACTCAGATTGTGCTATTACACAGGAATCGGTTATTATTTTCCGGTCAAATGAACGGCTTGTCTTGGTGTCGCGAAAAAAAAAAAAGTCGTCAAGATTTATTCACCGCAAGATACTGCGGAGTCTCTTGCACCGAAAACAAAACCCGCGTCACTGTCTTGGGGTCGACCGCTATCGCAGGAAGAATCCGAAGTGCATGAAACTGTTTGAGATATTTTAATGTTTGTCAGTATGTTGAGGGAGGAGAGCAGAACTGTGTATGTGACACCAGGTTTTGCGTTTGGTATATAAATTACCCTGCTACAATCAAGTAAGTATTGATTTATTTTGCAATAACAACAACATTGCCATTGTCCAGTGCGTAGTCCTAGAAGTACAAGTTGTTAATGGGCTTTCTGGCTTCTTCGAGGAAAGAAAGCCACTACCTTAGATACAGGATTTATTTGGGACGCAGCTTGCTTTGGTACATCATTTTCAAGTTAGATTAAATGTGGCTAATATACTGTATTTGTTCAATCAAAATACTTTATATTGTGTAAATGTACAACGAGAAATAGCAAAATGATGCATTCTAGCTTATTCTGCTGTAACCACTAGACCAACTAGAACTGTCAAGTTATGTTGCCATCTTCTTTGTATGACATAGACGTCAAGTATTTGCTGTCCCGTCTTTTACAAAGCTCAAACACTGTTTAATATTAAATTTACTTTTACTTTCCTATATAATATATATATCTTCTCTACTTGCAGTAATGGGCTGATCTAGAACAAAAGTAACGATGACTTTTTTTAAAATTTGTGCGCCCTTTACCTTATATCACTGTCCAAATATATTTTGATTTAGAACGTGGTGAGATGCTCATGTCCTTTTCCTTACACTTGTTCATGTGAAAGTTGGTAAACATATAAAGCCAATTTCTTGTTTTGCGGTGCTTTATTTCACTGCTTGTGTCAGGCAGTTGCAAATTACTGACGCTGGTGAAATCGTCTCTCAGTGATTGTGGTCTGTTTTACCCGTATTCTCCATAGAGTGTTGTGAAAAATTAGATCAGTTTTCAGTTTGGCATATGAAACGCCCAACTTATGAGCACTCTTGTCTGTTACTGCATTTCCTCTGAAGCAGTGTCACCCTGCAACCTGAAGCTCCAATACGTAGGCTGCTCTGAGCTGGACAAACAGCAAGAAGCTCGCCAGACTGCGCTATCAACGGCAAGCTATTAGGTTTGAGCTGGTTAAACTCCGGTGGTATCCCAGTGCACGTCCTGAGGTCCCCGAGCCTCGACTCCTGCCAGCCTGCACCTCCTTCCCGGCCCGTCTCGAAACCCGCCTCTTCGACTGAGCCGTCGGCCACTCTCCTACCTTCCCTGCCCTCCATTCCTCCTCGATCCCGGGCCCAAGCTCGGGCCCAAACCCCTGACGGTCCAGCGCCACGGGACGTCCTCCAGACGTGAAAGGCGCCGTGCAAGTGTCACTTTTGTATTGCATTGTATCGTGATACTCCGGGAAATTAGTGAAGCAGGCGTGTCTCTCCGGGGAAAGAGAACACGTTCCATTCCAAACTACTGGAATTTCCACGTGTAGGTGACATTCGTGGAACTCATTGTGGGTTGACTGCTCTTAAGTGTTGTGGGATAACTAGCTGACCCCCCCCACCCCACCCCACCCCACAAAAAAAAGACATTGAAGCACTTTTAGTTATTATTCCCTTATTGGTTGAATTTACAAATGTTATTTCTTCTTGGGAGGTTATTTCAGATGTACCGCAACAACTTATTTTCGCGGAGGGTGATTGCGCTGCTGAATTCTCTGCCGTCAACTGCAGCTCAAACAGATTCTGCAAATTATTTTAAAGAGGCAGATGTTCGAAGAGAAAGAATATTAACGAACAAGAAGGTGGAACTAGTTTAGGTGGATCAGACTGGTCTGGAGTATAAACACCAACCAGAGTGGATAGATGAGCCGAATGGCCTGTTTCTGAGCTGCACCGTCTATGAATCTACCTGTAGAAAAACATCAGCACAGACTTGTTGGTCTGGACAGCTTATCCTTGTGCTTTCTCTGATTTTCCTACCAAAGCACTGGCTTACTTGCAGCGTGGGTCTCCCGTACCATTGCACGGTCCGCTGGCTTCCTGCACGAACAAAAAGCTGATTTCTGGGTTGTCTGATTGCCATTGAAGTTATTTTCTGTGTATTCCTGTCCACAGGAAACACCGGTATAACCCTTTCTGCGTACACGTACACAATAGACAGGAACCGTGGCTGACCTCATTTCGGGTAGCCAGTGAGGTATTGGACCCAGCCTGCGTTAACCCACGTTTCATTCATTTTAAACGTTTTATTATGAGTTTCTGGTAAAACTTTTTTTTTGAAATAGTTTGGCAGAATCAATGGCCAAGCGGACTGGGTGGCGTGTACTCTGCAAAGAGCAGAGAATAGTCGTTTCTTTGTTCTCGCACCAGTTGAATCCCATCACCGGGTATAAATTCTCTGACAAGATTCGAAACCCACCATAAGAATCTTTAAAAACGATGAAGCAGCGCTTCGAACTACGTAATTACATTAAAATGATTTGAGCACTAATTTATACTGGTTTGCAAACCTTTTCAGTACCGACATGATGCTAATATATAAAAAAAATCTTTTTTTTTGTAACTTCTTCCAAGTACTTGAAGCGTGGGCTGATTTTTGTGCGGAACAAGAGATTTCCAAGAGTTTACGCAGACGCTGAATTTTCATTGCCTGGCATTTCACATCAAAAAGTCGAATGGTATAATCACTTTATGGTCTGAACAATCTTTAAATATTTGAAAAGGTCTAACGAGAGTGGCTACAGAGGTAGATGGGGGTCAGGAAATTGAAGAGAGAATTGGATAGCTATTTGGCAGAGAAATCAATCGAGAGATAAAGTAGTGTAGTTTTTTTTAATTAGACCAATGGACCTCAACGCTCTTTTTTGACGCTGAACACCAAATAGTTTCTGGATGAATAGTTTATGGTTTCCGGTATTTCTATGAAGGATGCGCAATGAGGAGCCACGGGAGAGAATTTAAACATCATGAGTATACTGGCTTCATAAATCACATGCGAGAATGGTGAGTGAATGATGGTTAGCGCCATGAGTGAAGCCAGAGATTGTACCACCTGCCGCCTGATGGTGCATTATATGTTTTAACAGTTGTTCAGTAAATTACGTGGTAAAAATCAGTGAAATCGTATTGACGAACAGATTGTTTATCCACAAAAGAACAGTGACTGCTGCAGTTCACAGTATCTCGTTGTGCTTTGCGACGTTTATCATATGACGGAGCTCTATATCAGATGCAAATTTTATTATCACTATTATTATTGGAGAGATTCAGGTCTGTGGAGGACTGCGTAATCCTGCAGTTTTCATTTACAGTGTGTGATTGCCATGCAATAAAAACCAGTGTTATCACATGAAGTATTGATATCCTCTATATGTTAAATACAGCCTATATTTCTACGTAAGTGTTGATATGTGAGGTCGTCAAAGCTGCAAGAGAAATAGAAAAGCTGTGCGGGTGGAAGTGCTCTTAAGAGAAGAACACGATTCATGATGCAGCAAGCTCAGTGCTTTCTCCAGAAAGCTAACGTAGCGCTTCTTAAAGGGTTAAAGACTTCAAAGGCTTGGGCGCTAATAGCTTTGCTCAACACTAACGATCAAAAGAACTTGAAAACGATAAGGAATATCATTACTGAGCACGCAGAAGAAATACTCCAAGCCTGCGTTAACATTTGAGCAAAATCAAATGGAAGAAAAGGCGTCAAGTAAGATCTGATAGTACACTGCAATAGGAGAAGAGCAGCCTTGACTTGCGATGCCGGCAATCGATGCAACTTTCTTGGACTTATTCCATTACACATTTTTTTTATTAAAAAAAGTTATTTAAAAAAAAGATTTTTTATTAGCGTCTCATTGGTACTGAAAATGTATCCAAATTAGAAGTTAGAGCTCAAATCATTTTTATGATATCATTTTAATATAATAATCCCTTCTAAATATATATCTATATGTATCGTACTAGTTCGCACCTATTAGCTGGATGTGAAGCACTTTGAGTCTTCCTCCCAAAGCGAAAGGCTCTATGTCAAACTCAATTAAGTGTATATCTTATTTCTATTTTAATATTTTTTAAAAAAACATTGTTTTGCTTCCTCACCCTGTGTCTCAAACAACGGGTTAAAAAAAATTGGTCCTCAGCAAAGATTTATACTGCGAAACCGAAAAGGACGTTCTTTTATATACCGCGATGTGTAGTAATTCTGTTTCAAAGGATTAAGTAGTTTGTCAGTTTGATTTATTTACCAGGGGAAACTTGTGCTTTCAACTACCAATGGTTATTTTTCGTAGTTCTTCATTTTCCAGCGTTTTGAAACATTCATATATCCTCAGTCAGCTTTCAATGGCCTTGAAATCCCCTTATATCTTGAAAACCCATAAATCTGAATGGTATAACTTAAATATCCAATTTACTTTATGTGAGATTTGTATTTTCCCACTTATCACTGGTGGAAATGAGCAGATTTTCTGTTTTTTTTAAAAAAAGTCGCTACGCCGAAGTAGCTATTCTCTAGAAAAGAACTGCTCTTCCAGAATATCTCAATGATAAACATGGATAAATTGAAATAAATACTCATTGATGAAATGATCAACAGTACATATAATGACCCATTCCTATATACACATTCACTCAATCGGTGCAGCTATTGGGTGTGATGAATGTGGAAGTTTGTTGTGTGTCCATTGCATATTGCAGCAATGTAACAGACTTCCATATTTGGATGCTTTTTGGAACGTCCTTCCAATGTGAAAGGAGCTATATATATATATATATATATTTTATATATATACGTAATATTGTTGTTGCTTCTGAAGAGGAGTAACATTGGGAGGGAGATGTTAAGAAATGATTATGCTCCCACATATCCCCGTCAAACTGTTTGTTACCTTATTCTGTTGAGATGTGCTGCAGAAGGAAGGAACGTTAGACTTCAGAATAATAAATAATAATCTTTGCATCTCATACAGTGCCTTAACACATCATGACACTTCCTGTAAAGTGTAGTGACTATGCATTGTGTAGGTGAACGAGCCAGGCAATTTGCGCACAGCATTGTCCCCAAACAGGCAGGTGGTGAACGACCATCAATTCACTGGTGGATACCAGTCAGGAGAGTGAATATTCCACAAACAAACATTTTCAAGTTGAAACTACTGAAAGGTAAAATTGTCCTCAATGGACAGGGCAAATGAGGTGAGAAATCGGACTCAGTTTCCACTCCTGATTGCTGCTGAAGATATGAGCACGGGATAAGCACAAGTTTGAGCTGTTATGGTGATCGAAGCACATGTTCACTGTCAAGACTCATATGTAAATACTGGGCACTTAGTAGAAGTAATGAAGAACTCCCAGTACCATTGGAAGGAAAAATAAGCCAAAACATCTTCTGGAGGGGAGTTAACTAGTCGAAAGAAATTCAATAGGGAAAATAGAGTCTCTTAACTCACTTGACATTTCCAATAGTTGAATTAACAATAATAATCCTATTGCATTTGATATAGTGGCTTATCGCGTCTTTGAGACGTGTCAAAGCACTTCACAGAGTGAATTGACTGTATATTTTGTTGGTGAAAAGTGGCAGCCAATTGTGCACAGCAGCGTCCCACAAGCAGTCGTGGATTGAGAGACGAATTCATTACTATTATAGAGATGATGAGAGAAACACCAGTCTCCTTACTATAAATTGTGACGTATCGAACTCTTATCAGACGTCAAATTGCATTGGGTTTCTTCAACATTCGGTTAGAGTGGGATTTTCCAATGTAAAACAAAATGGAAAATTTGCGACTTCAGCAATCCATATGCGATAGGACCATCTTTTTCTAAACCA